GCAGTGTCACTGGCCCTCATATGTGGGATCCGAACCGGGGCCCTCTGGCGTCCCAAGCCAGCTCTTAACCATCGCGCCACTCGGCCGGCCCTCGGGGCAGGTTTTTAAGGGGTTAGTAGGAAGTTTTAATTGGAGGACCTCGGAACTTGACCATTTATGGTAAGGGGCTTCAGCTCTGGATCTTCCTGAAAAATGGGCCCTTCGCTACTGAAAGGGTTCAGATGTTCAAGTTCTTGTTATGTCCTAATCTTTCAGTTCCATGGGGAGGGGTGAGACTTTGGTTCTGGGTGCAGCTGGAGGACAGGGGTGGCACTTGCACAGTGCTCTCTCTGTAAAATAGCTCAGGGACTGTACTAATCACAGATCTGCTTTAAGGGAACAGAACTAGGTTTAAGCTGGTCATTGTGATTTGTGTGCTATTTCAGTTTGGCCATATGTGCAAGGGTTCATTTAGGGGCTATTTATTCCATTCCATTGGTCCATTTGTCTTTATACCAATACCACAAGGCTTTGATTATTGTAGCTTTGTAGTATGTCTTGAAATCAAGAAGTGTACCTCATCCAACTTTGTTCTTCTTTTTCCGTGTTTTTTTGATAATTAGGGGTCCCGTAAGATTCAGTATGATTTTTAGAATGAGTTTTTCTATTTCTGAAAAAAAAATTTTTTTAAGTCATTTGGATTTTGCTAGCTATTACAGTGAACCAACGGATCACTTTGGGTCGTATTGACGTCTTAACAATGTCATATTTTCAAATCTGTGCATACAAGATGTTTTTCCATTTAGTTGTGTCTTCTTTAATTTCATTCAGTGATGTTTTATGGTTTTCAGTGTGTCTTTCACCTCCTTGATTAAATTAATTCTTAAGTATTTTATTCTTTTTGATGCTATTGTAAACGGAATTATTTTGTTAATTTCCTTTTTGGACTGTTCATTGTTACTGTATAGAAACACAACTGATTTGTGCACTGATTTTGTATCCTGCAACTTTGCTGAATCCATTTTTTAGTTCAATAATTTTTTGTGGAATCTTTAAGGTTTTCTACATCTATGATCATATCATCTGCAGAGATAACTTTATTCCCCCCCCCCAAAAAAAAGAGTTAATTCTTTATATGTCATATTGTATTCTATTGTGACACTCTGACCTTAATTCAGATTCATTAAGTTTGTTTACATGGGACGAGAGGAGGGTATCACGGGTCGTGTTTGGAAGGGTCCTCAGGGCCTGCAGTACAACCCATGTTCACACAGCAAATTAGAAGTTCAATAGGCATCTGAAACCTGATCTGTGTTCCTCTCTCAGCTTCCTAAGAGCCGAAAACGCCAAGCTGGGGAGCGATGGTGGAGAGGCCTTGCCTGGAATGTATCTATGGGACCGAGCCTTGTTCCCTTTGTGCTTTTACCCAAGGCTTTCTTATGTTAGGAAGTGGGGAATCTGGCTGAATCTCAGTGCATCCATCTGGTTAAAATAAACATCCTGGGTGGTCTAATATGGAAAAGAGCTTGAAGTCAGATTTGGAAGTGGGAAAGACAGATTTGGAATTAGGACAAGTTTGCCTTTGTGATGTTGGGCTTTTTAGCACCACTTAAACACATGATCTCAGCCTTGGGAGTGAGTACAGACATACCTCTGAGATCTTGTGGGTTTGATTCCAGACCACCACAATTAAGTGAGTCATATAGTCTTTTTGCTGGAGGAGGGTCTTGCCTTTAATTGTATAAAACGCCACACCTGTGAAGCGCAAGAAAGCAAAGCACAATACAATGAGGTGTGTCTGCCAGCTACTTGTAGTAGGCTTTGCAGAGGAAGGTGTGCTCTGAGAGGTAAGACTGCAGCCGCAGACAGACATAGATGGAATCACAGATATCAGAGTTCCTGGGGGGAAAACCATGAGCCACGGGAAGAGCACCTGTTGTGAAGTAGCGGTCTGAGTTTGTCTCCTGGTCCTCTTTTCTTTTTGGCTAAAATAAATATTTTACTAGCACTATTGAGCCCTTACTAGGTGCCAACTTTGCAGAATGTTTTACATACATTTGTTTTCCTCCAAAACTTGGCTGGGCTCTTAACCATTACACTGAATTCCTCTCTTTGACATTTATTGTACATTTTTCTATAGTGAATGTGGATTGCTTAGGCAATTAAAATGACAATCTCAGGAAGCTACACTTGATCTTTAGGCCACCATAGACTCCTGGGGGTTAAGGGGAAGTCAGATGGTTTGGGGGGACTACTTGGTGGTACCCTTTGTCCTCTCATCTTGCAACTTCAAAAGATGGGGTGTTGTCTTCCCACCCCAGCAGTTTCCTGGGGATAAATGATTGGGGATGAATCAGTGTCCTGATTATAAGTGATTGGGTCCCTGGAGCAACAGCATGAAAACCTCCTGTGCCATCAGTGAAGAGTGTAGATTCCTGGACAATCTAGGGGTGAGGGCTGGAAGATTGCATTTTCGTACGCTCTCCTGATGACCTTGCATATTAAAGTTGGACAATTACTTCTCTGGGTAGTTAGTCCCAGTTCTGCCACTTAAATAAAGGCTGTGTGTTATTGGGCAAGTTATTTTAACTTATTTTACTCTTAGCCCTATGCTGAGAGGCCAGATAATAACAGTAAAATGGATTATCCTATTTCATCTTCCTAAGAGGTGAATATTCCCATTTTATTGATGAGGAAACTGAAGTTTGGAGTGGTGAACTGACTTGCCTATAGTCACATCTAATAAAGTGACAGAGCCAGAATTTGAACCCAGGCTTAGATCATAGAGAAATGCTTTGGAAATCAGTAACACTGAGAGCAGTGATGATTATTTCCATATTCCCACTGAATCCCAGACCTTACTCTCTACGGCTCCGGTGGCTAACAGGCGAGGTTACAGCCACACTGTAGCAGACCTGGCCCCTGCCTTCTGGGAGCTTTCACATCATCAGCTTCCAAACTAGACTGTACTTTTCTTGTTTTTTTTTAAAAAAGATTTTATTGGGGAATTGGGGGAGGGGAACAGCGTTGGGGAGTTGGGGAAGGGGAACAGACAAGTTGCTGTCCTTTTGTTCTTCAGTCTAGTAGTGGAGGACGTCGCTTCACTGACCCATGTTGGTATTATCATTGCGCTCTTCCTGACTGAGGCAGATCAGTTGCCGATCACTGGATGGCCGCTTACGGTGGTTCTTGGCAGTTCACGCCGGCTGCCAGCCGCTCACGGTAGCTTACATCAGCCCACTGCAGCTCCACTGCAGCCTACGCCATCGCCGGCAACTCACAGCAGCCCAGCTCCACGTCAAGCTGTTGTTCACCATCTTAGCTGTAGAGGGCGCAGCGTCACTGGCTCTAATGTGGGATCTGAACTGGGGCCCTGCTACTCAGAGCTGGCATCCCAAGCCAACTCTTAACCAACGAGCCACTCGGTTGGCCCTAGACTGTACTTTCCAAATCCAGAGTCCTGATTCCCACCCTAGAGATTTTTTAAGGTTTTATTGGGGAGTTGGAGAAGGGGAACAACCAAGTTGTTGTCCTCAAATCTTAGTTGTAGAGGGCGCAGCTAGCTCAGCTCCAAGTCCAGTCGCCATCGGCAGCTCATGGCTGCTCAGCTCAAGGTGCCGTGTTCAATCTTAGTTGCATGCGGGAGTCAAACCAGCAACCTTGTTGTTAGGGGCATGTGCTCTCACCATCTGAGCCATCCTGCAGCTCAGCTCAGGCACAGCTCACTGGCCCATGTGGGAATTGAACCAGGGATCCTGTTCAGAGCTTGCGCTCTTAACCAACTGAGCCACTCGGCCGGGCCCCACCCTAGAGATTCTTATTCCTGGGTCTGAGTTGGGGGAGTTTCCCAGTGGGATCCATGGAGAAATGACCACTTTCAGAAACAGTGGAAAAGGCCTTCCTTGACCATCAGTCCAAATACCCACCCAACACCCCTCCATCATACCACTCCCCCCTTTTTTACTGTTGGACATGGGGTCTAAGTTTATATTGATACCCGAGGACTTAAAGCACCCCTTGTTAAGTGGGGCATAGAGAGGGGGTCTGATAATACATAGCCAACCCAACATCAGGTACTCAAGACCAGGGAGAAGAAATACATTTATTTCCTCAATTGTTACTGGCAAGGTGGATGTCCTTAACATTCCTAGATGCAGAGGGGCCCTACCCACATTATCCCCATCAGCTCTTACCATCTAGACTGCTTCCTCACCCCAGAGCTCATCAGTCTGAAGCTTGATGCAGACTTTTGGTTTCAGTTCTTTGAATTTGTACAAAGCCATCTCCTGAGGTAGCTGAACCACTCAAATCACTTTCCTCTTTGGGGGAAGTTTTCCAGATGTAAAAATTAAACTGATTTTGAAGTGCTCTTCCAGCATGTTCCTATTCTGCCAAGCCCCAGGGCCAAGTGTCCAGTTTGAGGGATATTGAGAGGGAAGTAGGAACACCAGGACCTCGGGTGAGTGGCTAAATTGGGGCTCTTTTATCTGAGGAACTTGAGCAGGGAGGCTGTCTCCAAATACCTATGGAGTGACCAGTGGAGATTGGCTAGTCTCCATCCAGGTGTGCTGGGAAGAAGCCAATTTGGTTGGGGAGAAGAAACTTCTAGTGCTTAGCCCAAACCCTGTTCGACAGCTGGATGCCAGTGGACTGTGAACTGCCTATCCCTAGGTTCAAACAAGGTCCAGGTAGACCTCAGGATGATCTTCCAGCAAGACCGACTTCATATCCTAGCTCCACTTAATACTGGCTGTGTAACTTCAGGGGAATTAACAAATCGTGTTTCTTTACCTATGAGAAGGGCATCTCACTTCTTTTGTGTGTGTATATAAAAATTAAGATAATGAACATTGCACAGGCCCAGGCTCATAGCAAGACTGTTCACTACTGTTGCAAACCTTGATTTTGTAGTATTTGGACTGCAATTACAACCGATAGTTTCATTATGACAGAAGTACAACCCACAGCTAACTTAAAAAGGGTAATTTACTAGCTAGCTTACATATGAAGTCCAGAGGTGGTACTGGCTGCAGACATGACTAGAGCATCCATCCCATCTCTGCCTCTGTGCTGGCTTCATACTGCCACCCTGCTCTTTCTTCACTGGGAAGGGGTACAGGGAGTTGCCAGCTCCGAGTTCCCTACCACTTAGCAACCCCAAAGCTTGACTGTTGACCCCAGGGAAGACTGGTCTAGCTTGGGATGCATATGCCTCCTGCACACTGTGATGAATGAACGGGATATTGAACAGGGTTGAGGCCAAGGAAATAAGGATCAGAGTGTGCAACACCTTCAGGTGTCTACCAGAGGGAGGGTGAAAGGGCTAAGGCAGAAATAAGGACCCAGCAATTGTCCCATCTCTAAGCTGGGCCCAGGGTCACAGTGCATCCATCCTGTTTTAAAAACAAAACCCAACAGAACAAAACCCAAAACAACTTTATTTGACAAAAGACAAAAACAAAAGGTATTTACAGTAGTTTTTTGCTAAATTATTCAAAGGGATAACTGTGCTTCTCCTCCAGGTTTATTTCACAACCAAACCAAGCAGAGGCTGCCCCACCCCCAGCCTCCCTATCTTGCTCAAGGGGGGAATGCCAACCAGAATTCAGCAGCATGGCTCCCGCACCCCTCGCCACCTCACTGCTCAGTGCACTGTGGGAAGGAAAAGTCCCACCCCAGCCCAATACACTTCCAGAGTCCCCTGCTACAAGCACCTTGCAACAGTCACATCAGACCTGGGCTCACAGACATGGGTGGGGTGGAAGCGGCTGGGCAAACAGCAGCTTCAACTCATCTTGAAACTGCCCTCATTCTTCCCTAGCTGGGCCTCAGGAGGGTGAGGATCCCTGGTGCCCTCCCCCCACTCCAGGGCATGCACGGAGGGGTGGGGGAGGCAAAGGAGTCTAGGAAATTTGCCCAGTCACAAAGCCAAAGCTCTCTCCTTAAATAATCAATCCCTCCTCCAACAGCAATGGGTAGGCCAAACCACTCAGAAGCAAGGGAGCCTCCCTGAAGGCTTCAAGGATCATCCCAGAAGGGACAGAACACACACTGCTGCCTTTTCTCTTGGCCAAACCCATCCAGGTCAGTCAACGTCCAGTAACTCTCCCCTGCCCTGTCTTTTGGCCCAGTAACAATGCTATTCCGAACAAAAATATTTCAACTAATAATAACCTAGGATTAGTGTTTCTTAGGATATATAAAGATGGGGTATGTTGCTGTTGAATGCTGTCAAGCAATGAAACAGCAAAATAAAAAAACGGGGAGTGGGGAGGAGAATAAGACCCACTGTAATCTCTCTCACTGTGAAGTTCAGGGCAGGGGCCTCTGCAACTCCAGTTTAAAGAAAGGTGCAACACAACACAAAGACTCGGTGAATGGGCTTCGTAACTTCCAGCCCCAGCCTCCCCTGAAGGCAGTTCCTCAAGCAGCTGGGGCACTGTTCCCTCCTTACTCCAGGAACAGTTTCCTGCCACCATCTTCAGAAAAGCTTCCAGTAGATGGCTCACTTCTCTCCAAGCAGGAGCTCCTAGGAGCGTCAAACATTCTGGCCCCACTAATCCAAGTTCCTAAAGGAATCCAAAACTCGGGATGCAGGGCAAAGCTTTTAAGGATAAAGAAGGTGAAAACATTAAAGAGGGAAAAAAAACCCCACTGCCTCAGTCTAGCTTACTTCCCCCACCCCCCAAAAATACAGTAAAAACAAAAATAGAAAAAAAACACCTCTCTGGTTTTATCACCCTTCTCTGCTCTGCGCCTAGAAGGTTTGGTCATTCTGTTGGACCCTCTTCTCTGGCCGTGGCTTTATCTCCTCCTGTGCCTGATGCAGAAAAGCCAAAGCCCATAAACGTTTTTCCCTCTTTTTTTGGTAAACCAAACCAATAATAAAACCACCATTTAGAATTTTGCAGAGATTTAGCTGGTCCCCCAAATAAAAATACTCCTTCCTTGTAAAACAATCACCAGTTGCAGTGGTGGATCATTCCCGGTTCACCAGACTCCATCACACTCCCATTCTCCACACCTGGGCTCACTATCCCCATCAACACAAACCACAGCAAAAGGGGAAAAACAAACACAAAGTTTAGCAAAAACCTAAACATTCAACTGGAGTTGGATCTGTTATAGCTGCTGGGTGCCTCTTTTCTTTTGTTCACACGTATGAACTTGGAATGTCCACAGTTGGCTTAACAAAAAGAGGTCGGGTCGGCTCAGGGGCAACTTGGACCCAGCAAAGTCTGAACTTGGCAGGTCTCCCGTGCCCAGCACAGGAAAGCAGGCTGGAACAAAGGTGTCCTGCAGATTCTCTGGAGAAGTAGCAGCAGCACCATGCCTGTCTCCACTCTCTCGGTCTCATCACTGAGGAGGCCTGGAGAAACGGCAGTCAGCAGAGGAGAGGTCCCCATCACAGTGCAGTGACACCAGTGGGTCTTCCTGCTGAAGACCTCTGGACAGAGGAGACAATCCTGATGTTTGGCAGTGATCCAAAGAAAACCCTCTGTATGAAAGGGAACCAAAACAGAAACTCAGGACAGCTGGCTCAAGCCTCGAGCACCCCTGTTGGCAGATGCCTACTTGGGGTTTTCAGGGACTAAGGGGATGGAAGTGTGCAGTAACGGGGGTGACGGGTCCTGCTGCTTCTGAAGCTCCATCTCAGCTGCCCTCTGTAGCGCCACCTCCACCAGCAGCTGGAAGCTGCTGAAGTCCTCCTTGTCCTGCTCAGGGGGTGTGGGGGGTGGTGTGTTGAAGAGTCCACCCGTGGGGCTTCCGGCTTCAGCCCTGGTCAGCAGGGTGAGTGTGCTACCAGGGGTCACCAAGGGCTTGGGGGGTTCCAGCTCCCCTTGTGGGAAGGGGGCCGCTGGCTTTTCCCCCTGGCCTGAGTGGAGTGGCATGGAGCACACGGACAAGGAGAGCACACTGGTGGGCGCCGGTACAGACACAGCCAGCACCGAGGGGCTGCTGCCACGGGCGAGGGCCACATCTGAGGCCTTCCCCCCACGGCGGGAAATGGTGTACTGGTTGGGGTCTTGGCCGTCCTTCCGAAGCATGTCTGGGAGCAGTCGCCGCCGGGCGTTGATAAACCAGTTACAGATCTGGAATGAGGGTAGAATGATCAGTTCACTCCATCAAAACCAGCTACAAAGCACCCGTGTTCCAAGCCCCAGGCTATAACAGCCAACAACACAGAAACAATCCCAGTCCTCAGAGAGGCTCCATGTTGGGAGGAGAGAGTTAAAGATGAAATCATACAAATAAATATAACATTGGAACTGTGAAGCAGCCAGTGAAGGGCTGCTGGAGACAACAATGGGAAGACCCAGTCTGGTCTCTGTGGACTCAGGATGGTCTTCTCTGAGGAAATGACTCATAAATTGAGATCTGAAGGATGAGCGGTAGTAGTTTAGGTGGGAGGCAGGAAGAGAGAGGAACGTTCGATTTAGGGGGATCAACCTCTGACAAGGCCCTGTGGCGGGTGGAAGCAGAGTGCCTATGAGGAACTCGGAGAAGGAAGGCCTGTATGGCTGGGGCTCAGAGGGGTAACTAGAGGTCACCTCTATGGTGCGCATTTGGTTCTTTATTCTAAGGACGATGGGGAGCTGCCGGACAGTTTGAAGCAAAGGAGCGAACTGCTTCGTAGAAAACAGTGGAAGCAGGGAGAAAGGTTAGTATTTGAGTTACATTAAGGGAGGTGACAAGATGACAAATGTTTGATCTATTTGGGAAATTGGAAATGAGAGGACCTGGTGCCCAGTTGGATATGGGAACATAAACGGGGGAGAAGGGATGGTTTCAAGGGTGATTCACCCCCAAGTTTCTAGAGCAGGGTCTTGCTGCAGGCCACAAAGACACCAAGGGATTGTCAGGTAGAAGAAAATTCTTGTTTCCAAACAAAACCGGGATTAGTGGAACATGCATTCAATCAACATCCTTAATCCTTCTTTCCTAACGCTGCTGGGAAAGTTACCATTGAACTTTGACCCCCACCCCTGTCCTGTCTAACTGCTTGTTTACATCAATCTTTTTGGACCTATGCATGAGGCTTGAAATTTCTTACTGTTAGTATTATGCTGCAAAGCCAAAAACATATCTAGCACCCTGACCCATGTCTGTCTGGTTCTTTTGAACAGCCCCAGCTTCATGGTTCTCCGATCCAGCCTCTTCACTGGTTGTCACTTCTCTTTCTAAAATGCAATGACTGGGGCCGGCCAAGTGGCTCAGTTGGTTAAGAGCTCACTCAAGAGTGTGAGCTCTGAGCAACAGCGGTTCGATACCCCGCCCGAGCTGAGCTGCCGCTGAGCTGCCAACAGGTGGCAGGATGGCTCAGCTAGAAAAAAGAAAATAAATAAATAAAATGCAATGACTGTTATTCCTGTTCTAGAAAACTGCCATGTCTCCTACCTACAGGATCAAGTCCAGACACCTGAGACCCGAGACTGGGGGGTTAAACCCTTCCCTGTCATGGCCTCTATTTCTAGCCCTTGTGTTCTCAGCATGTGAAACTGCTCACCAGCCCTCCATCAGGCCCTGTGCTTAAAATCAATCTATCTACCACTCTCCATGCCTTTTGCACATTACCTTTCTTTTTTCTGGAAAGCCCTCTTCTCCACCTGAAGAACGCCTATTGCTCTTAGGCTTGGCTGATCTAAGATATTAGAGACAGGGCCAGAGCAGAGCGAATGGATTCGAAACACTTCTTCGTTCACCTACGGCTGGTGCAGGGCCTGACAGTTTCTTTTCATATAGGAGTGAACGATACCATCAGGATAGACAACTGTTCAGAAAGAGCGTGAGTGGTTCCCGCACACCCGAGAGTGGCAGGCACCTGACCGTGGCATCCTTTGTGACCATCGAAAAGATCAAATGCTCGTTCTCTCTTGTCTCTCATTTACTCCCAATGGCCTAGAGATGTGGCAAAGTGATCCTACAGTAGCTCACCTGGGCATTATTTAAACACAGTTATGGATTAGACCAGAAAACAGTTTCTTAGCTGCAATGCATGGCTGGTGTAAGCTTATCAATACAAAACCTGTTTTTAAAACCCCCTATCATTTTTCCAAGTCCTGCTCTCTCTTGTCCTCCACTGGAGGGGCCACCAAAGGGGGAAAGCTGCCTAATAGTAATAACTATCTTGCCAACTCAGAAGTCGCAGAAGAAACACAAGAAACTGTGGGTGGGGGTGGGGAGCATCAGGGTGTGGCCTACATGGGTGCCACATCTGGGCATCTTTCTAGGAGCCTCCGCTGAGAAGAGTTTACCAACAGCTACCCTTCACCGAGCACTGTACATCTACACAATCTTCTAATAGTTACATCAGTTCTATGAGTTTGATCAACTCCCATTTTATTGATGAACATGCTTAAAGCTCAGCCTGGAGAAGTCAGGCAGGATTCCACCTCCAGCCAGGGATCCCCAAGCCGGGGCCTTTGGATATGGAGGAGCAGGAGCCCCTCCTCTCAGAATCTTTCTCTCGGGCTGTCACAGGGCCTCAGAGCCCAGCTTATTTTATTCACCAGAACAGTCAAGTTAGAACTTCTCACTTTCCTATTGCTCTCTTTTCAAGGCTTTATGCTCATGCAAATAGTACTTATTGAGCGACTACTATGTGCCTGGCTCAGTTCTAGGTGCTGGTGATGCCTTTGTGAATTAAACTGACATGCACCCGCCCTGTGGAGCTTACAGTCCAGCTAGTTGTGGAGACTGGCAATGAACAAACACTGTGAGTAGCCACCAATAAGTGCCCAGAAGGAAACAGACAGGAATAAAAGGGTATCACATAAAGATAAGACAGACTTCTGTAAACAAGGGGTCTGGGAAGGCTGAGGCCTAAAGGATAAGAAAAAGCTGAGGGAATAATGTTCTAGAACAGGGATCAGCAAACTGTGGCTTGCCAGCCACATGCGGGTCTTTGGGTACGTTTGTCTCAAAAGTTTGCTGACCCTGGAAGAGCCAATCCTGTCCCTCTCAAGAATTTAAAAATTATTCGAGAGCCATAAATATATTTTTACATAATCACCATTATGTGAATAATATCCTTTAAAAATTTTATAAATGAAACTATAATTTTATTTTCATTTTCAATTTTACTTCAGAGCCACATGTGGCTTGCAAGCAGCAGTTTGCTGATCCCTGGCGACTCTTCCATCTCAAAAGTTTGCCAACCCCTGTTCTAGACAGAGAGAACAGCAGATGCCAAGGTCCTGAGGCAGGAAAGGGTCTGGTTTAAGGAACTGACAGAAGCAGGCAGGGCTAATCCCACTAAGCCAGAACACCAAGCAAGATAAAGCACTAAAGGGCCTAAACAGGTGGGTTGACCTAAACTCCACACTCTAGGTCCTCCTGGTCCTGTCTCTTCTCAGTTTATCAACAGATACTAACAGAGCACGTACCAGCTGCTGTAGGAAAAAGAAGACAGGAACACGCCCCCCCCCCCCCCCCGCCCCGCATTTGCTATAATGTTGGGAAACTATATGGGCTGCATCAGTGCCCAATGTTGCTCAAAACATTCCTCTGTTTGCTGAATGGATCAAAGCCCCAGCTCTCCTCAGGGCTCCTATATCTGTTTCTACCCCTGCTTATCACCTTTCTTGGCACATGCCTGGGTAAGGCCTTGGGTACCATCTTCCCATGGACTCTGTTTCTACCCAGCCAAAGGAATAGCCACCTATGACAGGAGTTGGTACCTGGAGTTGGCATGCGTCACTGCCCAGCAGACTGTAGCTGCATCCGTTCCACAAGTGACCCAAGGACAGCACTAGGGCCCTGGCCCTGTCGGGCTGGGAAAGCTCCTGGGCAGGGCAGAGCCAGAGCCGCCTTGTGGCCCTTCTCTCCCTTGTGCAGTCCAGCCTGGAAAGACCCTGCCCCTGGGGTTCTCATTTATTCCTTTTCACCTCTATGGTCCCCCTGTACAAACGAGCAGACGCACAACAGCACGCATCAGCAGACCTGGCTGAGTTGCATCCTGGCTAGAGCTGCAGGGGATCCCCAAGGAGAAATAAGGCTGAGCAGCTGGGTGCAATGAAGGAAAGAAACTAAGCACCCTGGATACCAGGTTATGCCACCAGCCATCTCACTTGCATTATGCTTCATCTGCATACAAGCCTGGAAGGGTAGTGAGCAGCGTCCCCAAAGTTATCAAAGAAGGAACTGAAACTCAAAAGAGATGAAAGAGCTTGTCCAAAGTCACACTGTCTCTGAGTACAAAGCTGGGATTCAAACTCAGGTCTCTGGGCTTTAGGGCCCCTACGATGGTTCTTACTCTGTTTTGCTGTGTCTTACCAAACAGAGGAATAGAACAGATAATCATCAAAATCCTACAAGCAAACACTTGCTGGTTATAAAACATAGGAGACGTTCTGAACATTTCCCATCTAATTACTCATTTAATCTTCAACAACCTATAGGACAGGTTTTGCGATGATCTCCATTTGATCTGAACCACTGAGGAAACACAGGCCCTGATCAGAAAGGTTCAGTAACTTGCTCAAGGTCACAGTACAAAAGCTGGGATCTGGTCCGGACAGCCTGGTTCCAGGCAGCCAGCAAATGCCAGGTGAAAGGACTAAAGAGTCAGCCTGAGGCCTTTTCTCCCTGCTCAGATATTTCATCCCTCCATGTGGCAGCTGCCCCCTCAGCCACCTGTGCTACAGGAGAGCACTGCACCTCTCTGCCTCACCCCTGTGCGCAGGGGACAAGGTCAGATCACACTGACCTGGGTCAAGTGAAATAGGGATGAGTGTTTTGGTCGAGAAAGTGGTCTTGGGCGTTTACTAGCAGCTGCGTGGGCATCTATCCTCTAGCTGCACCTCCCATTTTGGCTTGTAATTCTAAGACAGCAGCAGAAAAACATCCCCCCTCCACTATACTCCCCCACACACTCACCCTGGTCCGCAGAAAACTTGGCAGCCTACTGTCTGTTTTGTCTTCTCACCCGATAGAAATGCACAGCTGAGGGGGGCCGGGCAAGGTCAAGGGGGCCTGAATGCACCACCAGTCCAGTGCCAGCTGTGATAATGGGCAATCGGGATTTTCTGTAGCCCCTTCCAGCTGCCCAACCCATGCCTAAGTCAGGAAAAGAGCATGACTTGCCCCCACTCAAGGTCTTTGGGGAGGTGATAGGGAGAATGCCAAGGTGAATTCTGTGATTGATACGGCTAAACACACTGGGTGCCTGAAAGCCTGTCTCTACCAGAAAACAGGGCCCTGTCAGTACTTTTATCAGTGGCTGAAATGAAGGACGCGGGAGGAATCACTGTGGAGAGCGGGAGTGGGAGGGGCACCAGGAAGCTGATGAAGGCCATGAGGACCAGAGCGGGGCACTGGAAGGCAGCGACACAAATGCTTTAATTTTAACGTCTTTTCAGCTGTGAAAGAAGCAAAAGAGGGGAGAGAAGTGAAGGCATAGGGAGATCTTTCCCACACTTCCCAGTACCCTCCATTTGTGTCGTGACCACCAGTATCTGGGTGCTCTCAAAGGCAGCTGGCTGTATTGGAATCACCTTGAGGGTGATGTTAAGAAATAGCTATTTCTCATTTGCTTTATAGATCTGGTGGGGGTGGGGGCAGAGTCAGGAATGTGTGTTTTTAAACAAGCTCCCCAGAGTCCTGCCACCTACACTTACAAACCAATGGTTTAATTCACTAGTTTAACTCTTGTGGGCCAAGCCTTTAAGCAAAGAAAGCTTACAAAGAAGCTCAAAAAATATACATACAGATGATGTATGTGGGGAGACATAGCTTGCCAGCGGCAATAATCGGGAGGCAGCTAGCTTTGGAGCCAGAGTAAGGAGAACTGCTGAAACCGATAAGAGGTCACTGAGGGCCAGGCCAGAGCACCCCTCGCCACAGAGCAGGCCACTCAGTTTCTGCTCCAGGCCCCTTCCCCATACCTGAGGCCCCATTCCTTCAAATCTGTCAGGTCTCCATTCAAATGCTGCTTCCTGAGAGAAGCCTTTCCTGCAGGTACTGCATTGGTAATTAATTGCATTGAATTCTTAGTCTTTTAAATTATAGTCCTAGGCTTCCCTCCTCCCTAGGAGGCTACCCTCCTGCAGGGATAATGCCTGTTTCTACCTCTGTTTCCAGCACACAGCACTGGGCCTGGCACAGAGCACACTCCAGTCAGTATTACAGAGTGAAGGAATGGGGCCTGAGCCTCCCTGCCATGCTTACCTTCTCTCCCCAACAGGCAGCCCCTTACAGGGGTCAGAAACCACAGCAATCAAGGGTGGGGAGGTCACAGGGACTTCTGAAAATCCTTCACAAATGATCTTTTTATTTTTTGGGTCTCACCCTCCCAACTGCTTAGCCCTGGGCAAGTACCTGCAAACCAGTTAGTTAAATGACTCATTGACTTGCTAATGAGATTGCTTCTGGGCGGTTCAAGGAGACAATCAAAAGAGATGTCCCCAGGGAGAGAGGCAAACAAGCTGGCAAAATGTTGATGCTTGTTGAAGTCAGGTGAAGGTGTGTGTGTGTGTGTGTGCATCACAATATTCGCTTTTGTGAATATTTGCAAAGGTTTTTAATAAACAATGAAACTTTAAAAATTAAATACAGGAAAAAGAGAGGCCTCCAGGGACTTAAGCCAAGTTTTCCAGGTTGAGGAGCCACATTTTCTTACTGCTGAGGTCCTGCCTGTTGACATTTCCAACACTTTATCTTCATTTTCTGTCACTTCAACAATTATTTACTGAGGGCTTACCAGATACCAGGCACTGAGCTAAACACGGGATACAATGATAAATACGACCAGGCCTCTGAGTTTAGGGTGTTCTAAAAAGCAATTCCAGTCAAGGGTTCAAATGCTGCCCCAGTCCGGGTGCTCTGGGAATACACAGCTCCTCTAAGGGTCAGGAGTCTCTCTGTTCAGGGCTGGGAGCAGTGGTTTGGGCTACTGATCAGCATGGCAGGAATATGGCCCACTATGCAGATAAGGACTGGTAATGTCATTAGGTTGGCAGGAGCAACTGAAGGGTTTTAAGTAGGGGGGATGACAAGTGATCAATGATAAGGTTGGACCAGGGTAGACAAAAAGCCATATTTTAGGAATATTTAAGGTGTAAATGTATAGGAATTGGTGGCTAACTAAATGAGCTGAGAAAGGGCTATCAAGGGGAACCCTTAGTCAGGGAAAGAGCCAGCTTGGAGACGTTATCAGTTATCAGGAAACCTGAGGTGCCTGTGAGACCTCCAAGCAGAGGTGTACGGCTGGGGATTCATGGTACAGTTTCCATCAAGGAATGCCAGATGGTCCCCACTGCTGCTTAACTCTCAGCATGACTCTAGAGCAGGGTGGTCACCACTGGGACCCCTCCCACCAGGGGATATGGGATCCAGCCCATCCTTCCTCAGCAGTCTCCAGCAGCTAATCCTTGTCCCAGACCTACCTTTCTCTAAGTAGGGTTTGGGGATATGTCAGCCTAGGGGTCCGCTAGTTCTCCATGAGAACACTGTGGCTTTGTGGTTCGATTCTGACGATGAGTAGAAGCACCATGGCCTCTGGCGACCCAGACTTGCTCAACGCCAAAGTCAGTGCCTCTGTCACACTACATACCACAGCTCGGCCAGCAAAACACTGCCCGCCATTTTACAGTAATGCAGTTAGATGGGATCTCACTGGTTTCACATTTCCTTTGCAAAACTGTTTTACAGTTGTGTATAAGAGCAAAAGCAAGACATTTTTACCCAGTTTTACGTATGTACACACTTAAGTGATGTAATAAAAATGATTCAAGTCAGCATGTTGGGGGGCGATGGGACCATAAAAAAATATTTTCTTTAAAAGGAGTCGGTACACTACTCAGATTTGAGAAACAGTGTCCGTGACAAAAAGCAATTTCAATACCGTGTGACAAGTGCTTTTGACAGCACAGGTATGAGGCACAGTGTGAATACACAGCAGTGGCCTTCAAAACCTTAGCTGAGGGAGTCAGAGAATGCTTTCAAGAGAAAATGCTTAAATGGAGTGAGTCTAGTTCAGAAAGGTCAGGAAGAAGCAAAGGGAGAAAGCCTGGAGGCTCGAGGGTTCCAGGGCCCTGGGGACAAGAAGAAGTGAGAGATGAAGCCTGTAAGTTCCTAAGGAGTCTCGACTCTATCCTGAGGACTATGGGGTCCGTGCAAGTGTGTGAAGCAACCAGACTGGCACTTTTGTGTTCATGAGACTGGACTGAAGGGACAGGCTGGAGGCAGGACGGCCAGCAAAGACACTGTGTAGGCACTACCTGCTCTCAGGCTGCAGACTTGGGCCTGCGCTGTTCTACATCCTGGGAGTCTAAGCCCACCCCTCTGAGAGGCCTTCTGAAGCCCCAGGCCACCTCAGGAGCCAGGCCCTGAGTCTCCACTGCCTTCCATACCAGCAGTGATTGCTTTTCGCAAACATCAGTGGCCAGGTCTTTCCTGCTACCCCATCCCAGACTAGATACTCCTTGAGGGTAGGAATGCGTCTGGTTCCTCTCTGGGATCCCAACTCTGTCCAGCCATAGAGCTCGGCATAGTGGTGGGGTGCTCGGCAGTCTACTGTGAGAAGCTCGGCACTGCTAGACACCTGGGGTCAGTCTAAGACCTATGACGCAGGAGATGAGGATGAAAAGGACTGGAAGCACCCAAACTGTGCCAAACACCTCACAGCGAGCCTTGAATAATTCTTGTCAGTCCCTCTTCCTTACATGCTGCAAAAGTGCTACAATCATCTAACTTTTTTCAGATGGGGCAACACGAAGCTCAGTGAGGATGCACTGAGTTGGCCGAGGTCCAGGCTTCCTCTTGTGGAGGAGATGGGATCTGAGTCAGGGTCTGTAACTCTAGAGCCTTTCTCGTAGACTCCAGTGAACGGCCGCCCAGCAAGTATAAGTCAGGTGACAGGAGTTCTGAGGCCTAAATACTCACCCTGAAGCTTCATGGAGCAGGGACAGGAGCTGGTAAGACCTGGGAGGTTCAGAGTGGGGCAAGGGAAGGAGGCAGACACCACACCACGCATTGGTGTGACGCGCTAGGAGAGGACAGAGGTGGAAAGGGAAGCAGGGGGTGGGCCTTTGCTAGGCTGAGGGCCTGGCTCTGTGTCTCCCGGTAGGTGAGAGCCACGCTGGAGGCAAGGCAGAGGTCGTCCAGGGCGTGCTGCCTCAGCACCATGAAAACAAGAGACCAAGTAGGTCAGCAACTGAGGCAACTCAAGGGAGAAAGTATCTTGCCCTGACAAAAAGTGGATAACACGATGTTTTAAGTGTGCTCAAAGGAATTTTACAACCAGTTCTGAATCTTTTCCTCACAATAGTTCAGTCGGGCCGGGGAGGACTGTAACCCCCACTTTATAGATGGGAAAATCAAGTGGTCCACAGCTCCTAGGTGGGAGAACTGGGTTTTGCACTCAGCATCTCTGGCTTCTGCCTTTTTCTTGACCGTGATTCCAACTCAATTTTTAACCACACTGCAGATCACCAGCTGCCCAGCAACCAAGTTGCCATCCAAGCACCGCTCTGGAGCTGTGGGCCAAGTCCCAGGCAATCAAGCCTCCTCGGCTTCCGACAGCCTCCAGTGTCAGTGATGATGACACCTAGACATTAATAAACACTCCTTGCCTCTCCAGAACCTCTGAAACCTGCAATCTCGCTGCAGTAACCTCGTGTTGCGGTCTTCCCTTGAGGCAGGGAGTTCTCATTTGACACAAGAAGAAACTGACAGCCCAAGGGCACACAGTGCATCCATGACGGGGCTGGGATAGGAGGAGAGTCCAGGTCTTACCTGCAGCACCGAGAGGTTGGTTTGTCCGGAAAGGCTCAGCTTCTCCTGCTCCGAGGGGTAGGCGTTATAGCGGTGCAAGTACAGCCAGTCCCGGAGGATCTTCACAGACTCCTTGGGCAGGTTCCCTCTGCGCTTCCTCTTGCCTGCCGGCGACAAGAGGCCTTCGTCCTCGCCCAGATCACTGTCTGACATGGTGTCGAAGGGCCAGAAGGCTTGATCTCAGGCCAGGCACGCCTGGAACAATTGACCAAGGGGATGGGGTCATTATTACTATACACTCTCAACCTTTTCCAAATGCATCATTACTAGAGCCGGAGACACCAGAACTATGCGAGAACTGAAATTCAGAGTCTCAGGCATACCACAGGCTGGGCAAGCTAGAAGAGAGGGGGCCAGTAGGTGACTACTGAAATCAATGGCAGTTAACAAACAGTAGCAGACTGAAAATAATTCCAGCTATCACTGAGATGTTTTCCTTGTGCTCTCTACTGAGCACTTGACATTATCTCATTCAATAAGCCTCACAAAGCCCGTGTACGGGAGACACTACTATTGGGTCGCTGGGAAAGTCATGATGTATCTTTCTATGTTTTTCAATGCAAAAATGCGTCATGACTTCCCCAACGACCCAATATTATTACCCTTTTATAGATGAGCACACCAAAGCCCAGAGAGATTAAGAAAGCTGCCCAAGCTACTATGGCCGTTAAACAGTTACCATGTGACCTAGCCATTTCACTCCTAGCTATCTACCCAAAATAAATGAAAACCTATGTCCACAAAAGCCTGTACACAAATGTTTATAGCAACAATATTCATAATAATAGCAAAAAGTGGAAACCCATTTGTCTATCAACAGATGAATGGATAAACAAAACGAGGGCTATCCATTTGGTAGAATATTATTTGGCCATAAAAGGAATGAAGTCCTGATCCATGCTACAATGTGGATGAACCTTGAAAATATGCTAAGTGAAAGAAACGCATCACAAAGGACTCATTATATGATTCCATTTTTATGAAATGTCCAGACCGGGCTGGAGGGGATTAGAAGGGTGATAGCTAAAGGGTATAGAAGTTCTTTTTGAGGTGATGAAAATGTGTTAGAATTGACTGTGGTGATAGTTGCACAGCTGTGAATATACAGTTGACCCTTGAACAACGTGGAGGTTAGAGGCACCAAGCCAAAAAGCCATGAATAACTTTTGACTCCCCCAAAACTTAGTTGTCCCTCAGTATCCACGCGGGGTTGGTTCTAGGAACCCTTGGTGCTCAGAAGTCCTCTTTATAAAATGGCAGAGAACAATGCATATGTGGTCGGCCCTCTGCATTTGAGGACTCCAAACCACAGAACGAAAACAGTACAGGTATTTATTGAAAAAAAATCGTTCGTACGTGGACATGCACAGTTCAAATCCATATCGTTCCAGTTTCAACTGTACTAAAAAGCACTGCTTTGTTTGCTTTAAATTGGTTAAGTTCTATGGTATGTGAATTATATCTCAGACTCAGTGAGGAGTCAGGAGACTATCAATCACCACGGCCCTACATGTAACATTTACTGTGCACCTACTGTGTAGCCTGCAGAGTGTCGAGTCATCCCTACTGGTTGTCTCTCAGACATTTTCCTTTGTCATCTAACTCCTGGCCTGGTCCCAGAATCAACTCCCCAAAAGTCCAGATAAATGAGCAAGGCAGGGCTCTGGTCCCTCCAACTTGGCTGTGTGACCTTGGGCAAGCATCCTCCCCTCTTGGGGCTTGAGCCCCCTCTTCATATGAAAGGTGTTTCCCTAGACAACCCAACTCAGTTGCTCAGCCTCCTGACAAACTTCTTGTTCACACATGCAAAAGAGATTTACATTTTAAAACCAAAAGTTGAAGCCAGAATGTCAAGGCTCCTCCCTCCTCAGCCTTTTAACAGCTCTCCAGCAGTCTAGGCCAACAGAGTCTGGCATTTCCCAGGTTTTGTTTCATTGACTTGGGCCTGAGCCCAGATATCTGGGCTGGCTAGGCCAGGCTTTCGAGGGAAGGGTCTACCCTCCCAGCCAGGCCACCTGGAGGTGAGACAGGCATTGGTTAGAGGCGCCACTCCGCAGAGAGCAGAACAGCCTATTGCTTTCTGAAGTTTAGAGAGCCAAAGCAGTTGGAACCTGGGCTCAGGGGTACAGCCCTGGCAGGTTATCTATACAAATTCCACCTTGGCTGCCAGCCAAGGTCCAGTCTGCAGGGTTTCAGGGGTGGCTCGTAGAGAGGACTCTCAGTCTCCACAGACGTCTCCATCATGGTGTCCTGCACCCCAGCCCGCTTACAATCCGTGAGGTTTCCCATATATACACCCCACACTCACTCCAGGCAACTCTTTAACAGCACTCAGATAACTGGCACCATCCCATCGCTCAGCCGCTGGAGCCCCCATGAATTTCACCAATAAATACAGCACACACGCAGTTTACAAATATCACTTCTAGCACGAACAACTGGTACCCAAGCAACAAGCCCAATTCCTGGATATATGCCCACCCACGAACTCCAACCGACCCGCCCACCCACGATCTCTCAGGCCGGGAAAACTCCAGACGTCATCACACCAGCCATCAGTTCTTACCCTAACTGGCTTGAGGCAGCAACACTGTCGACATTACATTCGGTGCACTCCTCCACACTCCGCGACTTCGACCTGCAGCCACTCCCGCAAACTTTCTGACAACTCCCCCAGGTCGGCCCAACACTCCTCGCGGCCACACACTCGCGCTGCATTCCCAGCAGTTCACACAAAGCGCGCAGCCTCCCCCGCGGCCCAGACCGAGTCGGAGCACATGGCTCCCGGGGCGGCAGGGAATCGGCCTGAGCACGGGGCGCCTGCACCCCTTAGTCCCCCACTCCGCATCAGACTCGGCACTCCAGCTCCCCCTCAGGCCCGCAAACCCGGTGGGGCGGGGGCTCTGGAAGAAAGAAAACTCACGTGTCTGTCCCGGGGCAGAAAAAAGTTTGGTTCCCACCCCCTTCCTCCGCGGCTCGGCGCTGGCTGACTCTTCGGGGCGCGGGGATGGCCGAGCCTGCGCGCTCGGCTTTGTGCTCCGAACTCGGCCCGGAGGGGGAGGGGAGGGGGCTGGGCTCCCACCTCCGCGCCGCCCCCCCCACCTCCAGCCCAGCGCTCAGACTCCATGTTGGCCGCCCCCTGCCCTGGAGGCTGCGCGCTTCCCCCGCGGGAGGCTCGGCTCACGCTCGGCCTGCCGGAGGGTCCCGGCACGCACAAACTTTCTTCGGGTAGCCAGCCCCACGCGCCCCGCTTCCTTGGCCCGCCTGGGAGTGACAGATGCCTCAGAGACAGACTTTCCTTTGTTCCAAAGGAAAGGGGAACTCGCGCGGGCTCCCCAGCCCTCCCAGCTCCGGGCCCTTCCCGCTGCCCCCCCCCGCAGCTGTCACTCTCAATGGCCCCCTCCCCGGTTTGGCCGCGGCGCGGGGGTGGGGGTGCCGGCGGTTAGCAACGTGCACTTTTGAAACCAAACAAACCCGCCCCCCGCGCGCTCACCCCGGCCCGGAGCAGGGGCGGCTCTTCTCCCGTTGTGGGATCCTAGGGAGTTGTGTCCCCCAAAAGGGCCCCGAGCGAGCTTCCTCCCGAGGGATGGGACACCCCCCACTGGCCCCCGCCAGCACCGCGGTCGGGACTCACAAACACACCCGAGGTCACACACCCACAATCGCACGCGACAGGACGCCGCCCCCTCCCCCGCCTGGCCCAGAAAAAGAAACTTTCCAAGTTGTCCACGCGCCCCCCGCCCCCATCGCCCCGCTCCGGCGCCCCGCACTGACTTTTCTGAGCGGCTTTTCCGTCCACGCGGCCTTGGGCTGGGTCCGGGGCGTCCTGGCAGGGGGCGGGGGGCGCTGAGGGAGCGCGCCGCGTACCTGCCGGGCCTGACACTCGGCCTGACAGCTCGCGGCTGGAAAGCACCTCGCGGCCTGACGTCAGATCCCCTCTCCTCCCCTCGGCGCTCTCTACGCCCTCCCCCACCCGCCCTGAGGGAGAAAACAAAGTTTGTGCGGAGCGCGGCGTGCTACGCCCACCCCCCGCGGGGCGGTCCGACGGCGGCCAGGGGCTTTCGCCCCGCCCACCGCGCCCGGAGGGGGCGGGGCCGGGAGGGCACCTTCTTCCTGCGCCCACCCCCACCCTCAGGAATGCCACATGGCCTCTAAAGAGGAGTGGTGGGAATTCAGCCTCGGGATAGTGAGCTGGGGGCAGGAAGTGGCCCGTACCTCCTTTCAGAGAGCGTTTCCGGAGCGCCTACTGTGTGCTCCACGCTGGGGGTGGAAGCCATTGCCTGAAGGAGAAATAATGCAAAGCCTGATGTTTGTAAGTCTGCTCCCTCCACCTGGATCTCCCGCCCGGTCGGTGTGATTGTTCCCTTAGCACCGAGAGGAAACTGAGGCCCAGTTTGTCCCGGGATTTACCCGCAGCTGGTAAGGACTGGGTTCTGAATACGACGCCTGTTCAGCCCTCAAGGGCCGGTAGAGTGGGGTAGAAGGCTACCTCTGACACCACCCCAAAGCATGTAGCCCCCAGAGTCTAGCACACAGGTGGTAGCCAGAAGTAAAAACAGCTAACCCGAAGGAGTGTTTGTAACCCAAGATGCTTAGCGAGGCATTTCAGGTGTGTCATCTCGTCTAATCGGGGTAGGTGCTGTTATATATCAATCCCTGGTTTGCCCACGGGCTGAAGAAAGTCTCTTGTCACAAGTCAACCAGTGTCATCCAACCCAGGTGGATCCGACAACAGAGGTGTTACCTTTACCCCATTATTGAGACAGGCCCTTAAAGGAGGCAGACCTCGGATCTACTATAGAAGGGGTCCTGGCTGGTTTCTTTTAACTTCCCACAACACCCAACTCCAGGATATTTCCCTTGGTCTTCCCAACCCATCCAGCACGCTCTTCCTTGCTCTTTGCTCCTTGTACCACTGTGAAATACCTGTTGACATCTCCCCCCACCCCCCACCTTGGAGGGGGGCACTTTGTGGCCCCAGGCCGCCCAGCACAGAGTCAGCCTAAAGCTTAGGCAAGGCCTTTTATGGGCCTCTGGTTCCTCATCTGGTCCCAGATATCTAGGATCCTTGAACTTGGAAATCAGCAGCCCTGAAATGGCTTTTGGTTTTAATTGCACATTAGCAATGGAGAACTCTGAGAACAAAAGTCGAATTTTCTTCAAACAGGCCCTAAGCAATCAGAATGCTGATTAAATACCTGTTAAGGTGCACCTGGACTCCCCATTCAAGCCAGACTTACCTGCAAACACTTAGAACCTGATTGCCACACTGCTCTCCTCACAGCAGCATCCAGAGTGTCAGTTCCATTGCCCAATGCTCTCCATTTCATAGATGGGGGAAACTGAGGCCCAGAGTGGAGGCCCCAAATAATTTATTGGGGAAGTGGTGTTTGGTCCATAGCCTTTCAAGAGAAAAAGAGAGGCTTGGGGAGTCTTAGAAGAGTAAAACCACTGGGTCCTGGGCTGTAGGATCACAGAGCGTGTGTGAGGCAGTGACCTTTAGAAAGGGGGGGCTGGAAGGGGTGCAGCCAGGTGACACTGGAAATGTGACTGTCTCGTGGCGGATGAGCCAGACTGTCCATTTTGGGGAAGCCACTGGGGACCTGGGCCGGAGCTCAGAGACCTCCCCATAAATTCAGCCACCTGCAGCTGCCCTTAGGCCAGTGCTTCCCCAGTCTTGTGCTAGATGAGGTGTATTGGGACACCTGGAAGGGAGCAGCTCCTTCCTCCCCTTAGCCCTAAGCAGAGCCACCTGGGAGCTGGATAACCTGCAAGCAATTTCAGGAGTCCCTCCTCAGACTTCCTGGAGGGGGAGGAGGAGAGTTGGGAGGTAGAGCCAGGCTGGTGGCGTGTTAGGATTGTGCATGATAAATTCCTCAGGTAAAGCCTAAATACAGAGCGTTTGAGAATTACTATGTCAAGCTTCTCAACCAGCAAGTATCAGAATTTAAAATGTGTGCATCCTCTAAGCCAGTAATCCCACTTCTTTGAATCTCATGAGAAATCTCAGAACAAAGATAAATGCTTATCCAAGATTGTTCTTTGCAGCACTCTTCATTCTGGTGGAAAAATTGCAAACAACTCACACTGGGAGCTCTCCTCACTGGGTGCTGACTGCTTACAGCAACTCTGGGACCGCCATACAGAGAACGGTGTCATGAGGTAAGTCTGTGCACACTAGGTAACCTGGCGGATGGCCAAGGTATATTTATTAGGACAGTTTGCAGTGTCCCAACAAGAAGGGGCTTTGGATTTACTTGGTGAGAACTTTCATGGGAAAACCTTCTCCAACTGGGAAGGTTTTTTTGTTTGTTTTTTTGAAGTTTTCTTTAATTTTATTGGGGAATTGGGGGAGGGGAACAGCCAAGTTGTTGTCCTTGAATCTTAGTTGTGGAGGGCGCAGCTCAGTCGCACAGTGGCGCCGCTCAACTCAAGGTGCTTTGTTCAGTTAGTTGCAGATGGGTGTAGCCACCATCCCATGTGGGAGTTGAATCAGCAACCTCATTGTTAAGAGCGCATGCTCTATCCACTGAGCCACCCCGGCAGCAGCTCAGCTCAAGGTGCTGAGTTCAGTCTTTAGTTGCAGGCGGGCATAGCTCACCATCTCGAGCAGGCAACCTTGTTGTTAGGAGCACGTGCTCTCACCAGCTGAGCCATCCTGCCACCTGTTGGTAGCACAGCAGCAGCTCAGCTCGGGTGCAGCTCACTGGCCCACGTGGGAATCAAACCGGCGATCCTGTTGCTCAGAGCTCACACCCCTGAGCAAGCTCGTAACCAACTGAGCCACTTGGCGGGCCCTGGGAAGTTATTTTTATTGTCATTTTCCTCCATCCGATTTTGCCACCCTCTCCCACCTTTTCACATATGGCAAAAAAAACCATGGGTCCTTGAGAGAAGGGACTAGCTTGATAATGAACCTGGGGTTTCATTGGTCTTCCCCAGCCCTTCCAGCTCCTGGAACAGATCTGAGGTCGGGCTAGGTGGGGAAAGGAGAGGTGGGCATGTATCAGAGCCCACTCACCCTGGTTGCCCCCAGGGGGCCATTTGAGGAAGAGTTCCAGGAACGCAAGGCCCCCCAGGCCAGAAAAGGAACTGGATGGGTGGCTTCGGCAGCTCCTGCCTCTATACTGGGAAGTCCAGAATAGAGGCTCCTTATGAGGGGGCTCCCTGTCGATTGTGCCTGTTTCTAGTGAACTTGGTTATCACAAAGGTTCCAGTGAAATGTCATGTAAATCCACTTCAATTTAAAAAAAAAAATACGAAAAAACTACCCCTGCCCTTTTTACCTGGGAAGTGGGAAAAGGGACCAATATTCACCAGGAGCCAACATGAGCCAAGGCTAGATCTAGCAACATCAAGGAGATGGGGTTCTGCGGGGTATGGGGGAGAGCCCAGCAAAGGCCAGGGTCAGTGAGTAATTCAGGAAACAGCCGGATTCTGTCAGCTGGTGGGGCCTTGAAGGCGAGCGTGAAGAATTTGTATCTGGAAGTGTGAGTAGTAAGTAGGGAGTGTGTCTGTGTGGGGTGGAGCGTTGGGGCTGGGGAAGCTTTCCCCTTACCCCTTTAGTTCTTCTGGCCAGTCCAGTATTGCAAATGGCATACAGTAGATTCACTGGAGAAAATCCGATTCAAATCTCAATACGAGTGCATGGGGCATTCACAGAAGCATGAACGTTCCAGAGACAGGGAGGCCAAATGAGGTATATATGTCATCTTGGACCAAGGAGAGGGAGGTAGGCAATTCATAGGCAGATGAGAAAGAGCAAACAGCTGGCAGACAAATTCCTGCAGGGTCACCCAGAAACAATGGGACAGGGGAACAGATTTTTGCTTTGGTTCCTCCCTGTCTGCCACACTTCATTCATATGTGCTAAGGTGAATATGCCAAGGAGAATAAACATGCCAAAGTTCCCTTCCTGAAGCAGGTTTTTTCTATCCGAATGTCTTTAGGCAGGAAAGGGGGAGGTACCAAACTCTGCCTGAGCTTGTTGGGCTTTAATTGTTTTCGGCTCAGAATAATTTGCAGGGCAGGGCGGCACATTCCGGGGAGCCTCTGGACCCACACAGGAGCCCCTGCAGGCACCTCAGGAGAGGTGGAAAGAGACTGGAGGTAGGGTGATCAGCTGGTGGAGGTAGGGTGATGAAACTGAGGCCAAACAGATGGGGACCTGTCCTTGAGGCCTAAATCTGTGGCTTTCTCACATGAGGTTCTGCATTTTCATCTAATGTGGCTTTCAGCTGATCAACATCTTAAAAGCCTGTAGTATCTTGCTGGTCAACCGCAATTTGCT